ATTGTTTCCATAAGCATAGATAGAAAAAGGAAATAGTTGTAAGTTATTGAAGCTAGCACGGTCCAAAGAAATCACTATAATTGAATTTTAAAAAAACGTAATAAGAAAATGGTGTTATCAAAAGTACTATGGGTCTAAAAATTAAATAAATTAAGTATAAAAATTAAATGTTCTTTTAAGTATGCAACTTGATAAAACCCAGAAAACTTCTTATTATTATAGGTGTTTGCACTAAGAATTAATTTTTAAACAAAAACGTTTAAATAAAATATTAATGACATTACAATTCATTATAAATCCAATGATCTTGCATTACGATTACATTTATTAAAACCAATTTCTAATAAATACAGCAATACTCGTATACGTATGTACATGCCCAACCATAAAAAATCACTACAAAAATCAATACAAACCAAATATTTTGTAAAAAAATAAAAAATTTGTAATAAAACACGAATTAAATAACTATACTTAAAAAACATTACGTGTATTTTGAGATTTTTTTTTAAGTTCAATTAATTAAGATTTTCATATTTTAAAAATATCTAAAAATAAACTAATGACCATAAAGGTTTTTGCGTGGGTTTTACAAATAAATAAATGTTACTGTGAAAAACAAATCACTAGAAACGTTAGTTAAAGGTAAATTTAGAGAATTACTTAATGAAAGCAATAAAATTAAAAAAAATATATAAAAACTTGTTCTTAGACAGCTGAAAAATTAAATATTAAATTAAGTATAAAAATATTTTCATGTACACTTAAAAGTGTAAAAGATACATAGAACGTTTGATTCATACATTCTTAATAATAATAGGCACAACTATAAGTAAAACTTAATTTCAAACTTTTATGAAATTAAAACGAAATTGACTCTTTCCAAATAATTATTAAAGCACAGCAGTAATATGAATAATTGAATGTCGATGGAGATTTCTCTGTTTACACTATCAGTTCTCATTACAATAAGTACAAATATGTCGAATTTTCTGAAATAAAACTAAGAAATAAGAGATAAAATTAGGTGCATAATTTTTTCCAAAATTAAGAGGGACCTAATTTTCTTTTCAATATTAAAATGCAAAGATTATTAATAGCTAAATTCAATATTTGAAATTAGCTTGTTATCTAAACAGAATGTGTATTTCAAGCATTCAAAAGACATCTACATATGTAAGTATATGCAAAAATTTAGGTAATGAAAAATTAAATTTTTTACTAAATTCTTTACAGGACTTTATAATGCATTCTTTAAAATTAATTAAAGTAATTAATTGAAATGAATAAATTAAGACAAAATTGGTTACAACACAATGTAGAAGTACAAAAACAATAAATATTTAGGTGCCTGGTAGGTAAGTAGTTACCAAAATGCCTACGTCTACTCATACCACAAATTCATTATAGCTAAGTAGGTACTTACTACTAACAGAAAATTTTTGATGCCTTTAAATTTCTTAATTTTAATCTTAAAAATCTTAATCTCAAAATTTTGTTTGCATCGTTACAAATCTATAGGAACATTTTAGATTTTTAGCATCTTACACATTCCTATATGATTTTTTTTTTCATACCTGCTTGAAATATTTTTCTAACATTTGCCAAATTACTTTAGAACTTGCGAAATGTTACAATTTCTGAACATGCTTCTCTTGTAGTAAAGATTTATGGAATATGCTTATATGTAGCGTGTTCATTGTTACATACAGAATTTATTCATTATTAAGAAACCAAAATTTTGTATGATTTTGAATAAAATGCTAAAATTTTCAAATGTCTTTCAAAAAAAAAATAATGTAAACATAATGGAGTTGATAGCAAAAATTCAAGTTTCACAAATTAACAGCACAAAAATCAATTCATAGTAGGCAAAAAATCTAATTAAATACAAATTGTACAACAAAAAAAAAATAAAAACAAAAATCTATACAAAAAATTATTTGACAGCCTAAATTAATTTTCATTTTTAAGAAATTTTATAATTGTTAAGTAAAACTCATAATCCTATTTTAATATTATTACAAAATATTTTTATAATACCTGAAAATGAAATTAGATCAAAAAAAAAAATTTTTTTTAGATCATTTTTCTCAAGTAAAATATTTTGAGGTTATGTTGCTAGTGTTTATTTTTAGAATTTTTCTACTTTTTGTGTTTTCTTTTTTTTTCTTGTTTCAATACAAACTTTGAAGGCTATATTAACTTTCAATCTTGAATAAATTGAATTATTTTATTAAGTATTACCTTTAGAAATCTAATTAGAAATTTCGAAATGGAAAAAAATTGAAAAGAAATCCGTCAAAATATAATATGGTGGAGCGTATTGATGTACTTATCCAATACGGCCCGGCCCTACTGCCTGCCTATACCTAAACAAATGCATATTTTATTCTAATTCTTATTAATATTAACGCTAATCGGCAAAGTTGTAATGTGCATTATCCTACTTAAAATGCGACTGTTATTTTATTTATAATATATTATTGCTATAGAATTATAAAACATGTAGTTAAATTATAAAGAAATTTAAAAAATGATTCAATACTTACCAAATATTTTATTAATATTTCACTGACACTTGGGTTTCTTTTTTTTCTACAGGTAAGATTTTAGTATAAAATTTTTTTTATTTTTTTCTTATTTTTTTTTTTTTAATTAAATGATCTAGATTTATTTTAAATATAAATTTATTTCTTTTTTCATATTTTTTAAGTGGGTGGGGTGGTGTCTCATTTTATTTCACTTTTTTTTTATATTTTATAACTAGATACAACTATATAATAATAATAAAAAAAATAAAGCATCGCAATAAGATTCGGAAGTTTTTTTTTTCTCTCGCACATACAAAACTCACCTTACCACTTTTAATCAAAAAAAAAAATTTATCCTCTTTATTTTAAAAATTAAATTTATTTCAATTTATGTAATTTCATTTTAATTATTAAATTTTCTTATTAAATAAATAATTTTTTAATGAAATTCTTAAATCACTTTGCATATTTTATGATAAAAGTAAAAAAATTGTCACAGACGTTTATTTTATTTTTATTTTTATTTTTTTATTATTATCTCTAAATGGTTGTCAAAAAACACTTCTGTTGTTTTTGTGTTTTCTTATTTTTATCCATTATTATTAAGAACTGTCAAACGGTGAACTTCAGAAACAAAATAAAAAGTCAACAAATTTTCAATCAAATGTTGTAATATTACATTTGAGACTTCTGAAGTTAGGGGTCGCTTCGCTACCAGTTTTTCAATTTGCATGACATCTATCCAATGTTCTTAATTCTAACATAAGTATGACATTAGAGTCATACATTTTTTAATGAAACGTCATATTGTACGTTAACATCAACTACAACACAATTTATAGTATTGTCAGTTTGAACAAAATTTCACTATCATTAACAACATTCAGTTTCTTGTGTTTACACAATATGGTAACTTGCCTGCCGTATTTTTTTCATTTTCATTCCAATTTTTTAATTTTTCCAGGAAGTTTGTCAGTGCAGAAGGAAACGGTATTTAATTGAAAAAGGGGGCGAAATATCTGTTGCAGTTTTTTCAACCAAAAATTGCCTGTTTAGTAGTATGTCTTAAATTACCGACCCAAATAAACTATAACACAAAATTTTCGATTCTCAAAAAAAAAAGTATAAAACTGTTTTATTTTAAAAAATTCAACGAAATGTAGGTATTTACAAATACAAAGCATAATAGGAAGTAGAAATTTAATCCAAAATTTAATCTAATTTGCTGAAAGTCATATGACACTGTTTCAAATCACATTTTTTCTGACGACAAATAACAATATCGGTCCTTTTGTATAATAAAAATTTTGAGCCGTGCTGTTCTCATCTGATTTACTTTCAGATTATTTAAAAAAAAACCGCGACAATTAATTTTTTGTCAGAGTTTGGAATAACTGCCAACTGATTTTTGTTTTGGATGTTATTTTCGTAACAAAATTATTAAATTTTGCCTTAAAAACTAAGTAAGTTACTTTTCCTTTACAAATTACAGACAGACTGTATCTTTACAAGACAATCAAATATTAAATCTACGACAAAATCTGATGATAGTTTTACATATCGGACTAAAAAAGTTTCATTATCAAAAACAGAATATATAAAAATTTAGACTCATATTTTCTCAGACGTCTCAAATTATATTACATTGTTGAAACAAATTGCAATTTTTAAAATAAAAGCGATGTTAAAATTATAATCTTGAAGTTTAATTATTAAATAATTTTTATTAAATAAAAAATAAATCACAGTATCGTTAAGTAATTTTCTATCACGTAACGCGTCTTTGAAAATATGCGCTTCAAAATTGTAAAAAAACACCTTCAACATACAAAAATGTCATTTACGCTTTTCTAGTGAAGTACAAATTTGCATATATCATAATATGGCGATCTGAAAATCGGAATAATTACCTGGTTTAACAGATGCATTTGTAAAAAGAAAATGAAAATGAATGAAAAAAAAAGAAATTTTAATTAAAAACCAACGTGTTCGCCAATTAACACTATTAATGTTCATTACTTCGAGTTACTCTTGAATGTGTTGTATATATGGCATCCCTATTGATTTTTATTTAAGACACAGCTAAAAATGAAGTGCTACATGTACCTACATTTATGTAGTTAAAGTTTTTAATGAAAAAATATAGTTACTGTTGAATCAAAAAGAAATGTAATAGTTTTAGTTGTAGGCGTCACATAATAACAACTATTTAAATCTGTAGCAACAGTAGATAAAAGAATATACGTCACTGACATAATATCGGTATTCGGCTCGTTTAGCAATATTCACTCAGCGTTCTAGTGATCACGTTCAATGTTACTATTTAGCGTCACCCAGCGTTTAAGTACATATCGATTACGTTAAATAATTAATCATGAAAAGCATAATAATCGAAAAAAATTTTACTCTATCCATTTTTAAACGCTTTATTTGACATACAAAAATATCCGTCAATTTGTGACATTTATCAAATATTAAAGATTTTCTTTTCTACCATAGTATTGTACTCAAACTGCACGTAAAAAATTCTCAAAATTTATATTTAATAAAAAGGTACATCAAGATATATTAGCGGTTTTATAAGGAATAGGTAAATAAATTTAAAAATTAACGCAAGAATAAAGAATATATTTATAAAATTCTGTTCTAAAATGTGAGGCATTTTTCAATAAAAATGTATTTACATTTCTTAAATAGGAAATTAGAAAAATTTGTTCAACACATTACAAAAAGAATACACATAATTCTTATAGTTATATTTTATTAATTTTTATCCGAAATTATTTTTGTATCGTTCGAAGGATTTTATGAATGTAAAGAGTTATTTAAAACCATAATGGCTTCCCTATTGATTTTTATTTAAGACAGCTAAAAATGAACTGTTGCATGTACCTACATTTATGTAGTTAAAGTCTTTAATGAAAAAATATAACAATAGGGTTTTCTCATTACTTAAAAATCAATACAAGAAGAATTTTGACGCGGCATATGAAATATTTAACCTATTAATATTTTTTGAGTATTAATATTCCATAATTTCTTTATAATATACATGCCTGTATATAGTGTAAGTTAATGTAGATATATACTATAGATTTAGATTTTTTGAAATATGCCGAATACCACAAGCTGGTTACGTTCAGTTTGGCCATCCACCGTCATTAGTACCGTTTTATTGATATTAGGTAGTGGACTATTATTTTGGAATGAAGGAAGATCAGTCAAACGAAATTTTTCTTTAATGGAAGCTTTAAACGATGCAATAACAATAGATCCAAATTCTGATATAGATCCAACTTTTTCAAAACGTCTGGTACATTTTTATGGTCAAATTGTAACTGGTGAACCATTAACAGAACCTGAATATAATATACAAGTCCAAGCAGTAAAACTGAAACGAAAAGTACAAATGTATCAATGGGTAGAAGAAACTATTGAGCATAATTATGGTCAAAGTATCGACATCATGGATCGTGACGAACGAACATATTACTACACACAATCCTGGGAAGATCATTTAATAAATTCCAGATTATTTTCAAGCCCATTCACTCATCGCAATCCTGAAAACTTCCCTATTGAAAGTCATGTACAATTAGCAGAAACTGTATATATCGGAAAATATGAACTAAGTAAAGATTTGAAAATTAAATTTGATGATTTTCAACATATATCATCTGATCAACGACCAGATGATCCAACAATCAAATTACATCAAGGATTTTATTTTCATAGCAATGATGTTTTTAATCCTGAAATTGGTGATTTAAGATTACTATTTTCAGCAGCTGGAATGGAAGGAGAATATTATACTGTTGTGGGTTGTATTGAAGAAGGGAATAAGATTGTACCTTACTACACAAGTTATAAAACGCAAATTAATTTTCTTTTTGCTGGAAAATTAAAATTGACTGAAGTTTTTGATAGGCAACACAAAACATACAGATTAGAAAGTTGGATATCAAGATTTATTGGATGGGTCTTATTGTTTATTGCATCGGCATACTCATCTCCATTGCTGCATATGGCCCGTGAGAAAATAAAATATTAATTAAAAATTACAATCTTTTCAATATAATATTAATCTATTTTTGTTTTTTAGTTCGACGAATACGGTTTTTATCGTGTTATGCTAACGAATCATATTTATCGATAAAGAATATTTTCACAATCTCTCTCTCGTTTTCATTGATAATTATTTCAATAGCTTGGATTATACATCGATCTTGGTTTGGCGGTGGTCTTCTTTTAGCTGCTTTTTCACCCATAATGTATGCCAGACATATAACAAGCTATCAAAGATTAAATTGACTTTACGAAATTGAACCAAAATTAGTAGAGATACATAAAATATTTTTATAAAAAACAGAATCCCGTTTGTCTATTTATTACTATGTTTCGGAGCATACGATTGTTTAAGTTTATATAATTATTGTTAAACTATGTTATGTAAATATTTGTTTTATTTGATTTAGAAGTAAATTGTACTGATAAAATTGCCCAGAAATTAAGCATTTTAAATAAATATTGTTATTATGATTCCGACTTTAAATAAAGTACTTTCAGAATACAAATCAAACATGTCCAAAAGGGGAGCTGAGGAGGTGTCTAGTGGAAATTCTGCTTCAGCAAATCAACCACCAATTAAAAAAGTTCATTTTGAACCACATTTAATTGGACCATGCTCAACCCTTGAAGAGATGGACATAAAAGTCCTTCAATTCCAAAATAAAAAATTGGCACAACGTATAGAACAACGTATGAGAACAGAAGCTGAGTTAAGACATCGTATAGAACAATTAGAAAAACGTCAAACTCAAGATGATGCCGTTTTAAATGTTGTCAACCGTTACTGGAATCAGTTAAATGAAGATATACGGGTTTTATTACAAAGGTTCGATGCCGAAACTGCGGACGAGTTCGAAAATAAAAATGAAAATGAAGTTACCACATCATTTTTGACACAACTCTCGACATGGGACAAAGAAGAACTAGATGACAAACTTGCAAATCGTGTACAAGTATCAAAGCGTGCTGTTGCAAAAATCGTCCAGGTTATTGACCGGATAATGCAAAGAAATGAAAAAATAGCATTAAGCATTTCTAAAAATGAGGTAGATGAAACTAAAGATGTTAATGAAATCAATCAAGTTGATGAAGCAATTTTGAAAATTGATGAAGTTTTAAGGCAATCTCAAGCTGAGATAATGGTTGAAAATAGAAATTTACAGAATTTGAATACATCATTACATGAAAAATTTCATACCATGTCTTTAAAAATGAAAGAATATCAAGATGCTTTAACAGCAAAAGAGACAGAAAACGCTGAACTTCGGAATCAAATTGATGAATTACAATATGACTTAGAAAAAGTAAGATGTCGAAATGATAAATTGGAGAATCATTTAGCTGAAGCTATCGAAAAGTTGAAAGCATATCATCAAATGCATGGTGATCCAAACAAAAGTACCTCAGCTAAAGTTATGAGCACAACAAGTGTTAATAGTCAGCATTTGGAAGATTTACAAAAAGAATTAGAAGAATATAGAGAACTTGCAAATAATCGTCTAACTGAATTAGATAAACTGCATTCCACACACAAAGAGACTCTGAAAGAAGTAGAGAAACTAAAAATGGATGTAAGATTTTTGAATATTATTTTAAAGTCTAAATAATTAGAGTTCATCCGTTTTTTTTCTTTTTTAGTTAAGGCAGCTTCCAGAATCTGTAATTGTAGAAACTACAGAATATAAATGTCTTCAATCACAGTTTTCAGTGCTGTATAATGAATCAATGCAAATTAAGACAATGTTAGATGAGACACGTAATCAACTACAAACTGGAAAGAATCAGCATTTACGTCAAATTGAATTTATGGAAAGTGAAGAACTAATTGCACAAAAGAAAGTTCGAAGTGAAATGATACAAATGGAAGATGTATTAGCTCAAATCCGTAAAGAGTATGAAATGTTGCGTATTGAATTTGAGCAAAATATGGCTGCCAATGAACAAACGGCTCCAATAAACAGGGAAATGAGGCATTTAATAACCTCACTTCAAAATCACAATGGGCAGCTAAAAGGGGAAGCACAACGGTACAAAAGGAAATATAAGGAAGCATCTGTGGATAACACCAAAGTACTAACAATTACTAAATATTTTTTAGTCATTCTCGTTTCAATTATTTTATTTTTTAGCTTCGAAAAGAATTGGAAGAAATGCAGGCTAAATTAGAAGGGTCCAAAAATCAAGCAAATGAAGAAATCAAATCTGAAAATTCTGTTAAAGAAGAAACTAGCTCAGAAGGTTCATCCAGTGTTAAAGATGAAAATCAAGAAACTAAAATAAAAAGTTATAAGTTTTTTTTTTTTTAAACGAAGTTAATATTTAAATTTATTATAGTTGAATGTGATGATCAAGATCAAGACGGAGATTCAAAAGATGGAATCAAAGATAAAGCAGCTAATGCGGCAAATGCATCTAGTGGAGAGAAAAAGGATGGACAAGCTAATTGTGCCGTAAAAGGAGAAAAAGACTCGAAGGATGCATCAAAGGCTAAAGAAATTAAAGCTGCCGAAACTGAAATAGTACGAGACTTAAAAGCTCAGTTAAAGTAAGTTTCTAAATTAAATATAAAATTGAAATGAATTAAAAAATTATTTCAGAAAAGCCATGAATGATCAGAAAGAAATGAAATTACTTTTGGATATGTACAAAGGGGTTTCAAAAGAACAACGTGACAAAGTTCAATTAATGGCTACTGAAAAAAAATTACGATCAGAAATTGAAGATTTGCGTTTACAATTGAAAAAAATCCAAGAGAGTAAACGTGAAGATCGCAAAAAGTTAGCTGATGAAGAAGCAATGAAAAAAATTAAACAGCTGGAAGAACAAAAGTATGAACTACAAAAACAAGTAGCAAATCAAAAACCCGCTGATGGTCCTTGGCCTGGTGGATACGTACGTCCTTTTGTTGGTTCCCATGAGGAAGAAGCATTATTAAATGAAATGGAAGTAACTGGTCAAGCATTTGAGGATATGCAAGAACAAAATTCTCGTCTAATTCAACAATTACGTGAAAAAGATGATGCAAATTTTAAATTAATGTCAGAAAGAATAAAAGCAAATCAAATGCATAAATTATTAAGAGAGGAAAAGCAAATTCTTGAAGACCAAGTAACAACACGTGATACTCAAATTGAAGCTATGCATATAGTATTACGAAAATTAGAAGAAAAAGAAAGAAGCTTACAAAATGCAGTATCGACTATTGAAAAAGAACTTGTTTTACGTCAACAGGCAATGGAAATGCATAAAAGAAAAGCGATTGAATCAGCTCAATCAGCAGCCGATTTAAAACTTCATTTAGAAAAATATCATTCGCAAATGAAAGAGGCGCAGCAGGTTGTAGCCGAAAAAACAAGTGCGTTAGAAGCTGAAGCATATAAAACAAAACGTTTACAAGAAGAACTGGCTCAATTTAAACGTAAAGCTGAACGTATGAAGAAAATTGAAATGACAGGAACAACATTCGATGAGGTTATGATGGAAGAGATCCGAGAATATAAAGAAACTCTCACTTGTCCTTCATGTAAAGTTAAAAGAAAAGATGCCGTTCTTTCAAAATGTTTCCATGTATTTTGCTATGATTGCTTGCGAACACGTTACGAAACCAGGCAAAGAAAATGTCCCAAATGTAATTGCGCCTTTGGAGCAAATGATTATCATCGTCTCTATCTTTCAACTTAAGAAAATCAAGTCAAAAAACAAATACAAAACTAGTATATAAAAAGGAATTCGTCTCTAATTTACTTGACGTTATCTATTTAATAGTATTCTTTAGTTATACTTACAATTTTAAGCAAGTAAAAATTATGCTTTCAATAAAAGTTTTTTTATACTTAAATAACAATTTTCAACAGAACATTTTTAGTTTTAATTACATATTGTAATTTTTTTGTAATATCTAAATAAAATTCCCTTATTTTTCACTTATTTTAATTTAGATTTTTATTACTACAATACTCCTTAAGTTTGAATTTAAATTCACGTATTTTTTCGAAAAAGTTCTGCATTTAAAGCATATTTACATTCAACTTTCTTCGTCGCTGTTTTTATTGTAAATATCTTGATTTCTTCTTTTGAATTTCTTAATAGGCGGTTTTGAAGTATCATTTTCTTTCACGATTATATCTAGCTCTGGTGAGTTTTGAACTTCAATCAAGTCTTCTAAATTTGATGTTTTCTCAAATTTATTATCGATGTCTGAAAAACCGCTGCTGTCTAAAAACGTTTCAGTTGTTACATTTTTACTTGAATCGAAACTATTTAAAATTTCAGAACTTTCCTCAGTAAAACTTTCTTCTTCATCGTTATCACTTATTGCAATTTCTTCGCTCTCTTTTGGATTTGGTAAAAACATTGACTTACGCTTCAGCGGACTACTTTCTAAAGATAAATTTTGTTCACTGTGATCACTTTGATCCATAATAAAACTGGAATTATTCAAATCACTTGTTATGCTTTCATCTAAGATAGTTGAATGGCTCAATTCGTGACCACTTAACAACATTGCCAAGCTTAATGGATCGTCTATACCCAGTAATTCACAAAACTGTGTAGTCTGTGGATTAATTTGAGCTTTTGGTTGTTGAGAACCATAATTATTATCATTTGGATCATATGGTTCAACAGTTTTACAAAAATTTTGTGGAATCTCTAGATTATGATTAAATTTTTTGAGAATCATTTCCATTTCTTCTTCTGTAGGACTGAAATCAAAACGTTCATTACTTGTTGGGCCAGGTAAATAGTGTTTTGAATTTTTAACATACAATAAATGATTTGTTAAGTGTAATATTGTTAGCCATTCTAAGTCATATGAAATGCTGATTTTTTCTTTCAAGTCTTCTGTATTTCTTTCTATATCCATTATTTGTAAAAATCTTCTTTTCGGTAAACATTTATCTAGAGCCAAAAATTTCGTAATGTTATCTGTTTCTTCGTGTTGGATTAAAGCGGCAAATTTACAATGTAAATGACCGGCAAACCAATATTTTGGTTGTAATTTGTTTAATAAATCGCCACAAGGTGGACTTCCCAATCTGTTACTTTCAATGTCATCTTTAAAATGTGGTTTAAAGCGTAGTAATTGATTTTGATTACCAAAATTGTGGACTCCTTTTGGCCAATCATGCGATATGCATATATCAATTTTACCAGAAATTTGTTTTAATCTAAATATTTCAAGCTGTCTTACATGATAAACTGATCGCTTAGTTTCATCAGAATACGGTGAAAATTCGTGATGGCCCTTTAGGTAATCATGTCCTTTGTATATGCCAGACACACCAGCAATACGAATTCCATTTATGTTTATAACTCCAGCTAATCCCATGTAATATATATTAGGTGCTGCCCAACCTCCATATGGAAGTTCCTGCAAATAATTCGATGCTTCATGATTTCCTCCAATGAAAATTGTCAAGATTGGTGCCAATTTTTCTCCACTATAATATCTGAAAATTATCAGGTTATGGTCAATATTTAAGAATTTTAAAGTTTAGAAAGTAATACTTGTAAAACGAACACATATCTTGAAATTTTTTTGGTACTGCCATGGTTTGTAAATCATCAAGATTTCTTGTTGCTTGAAAATCTCCACAACATATTAATAAATCCACTTTAATATTTTCTTCCTCTTCAATTTTAGCAATAGTGTCATAAATTTTTTCTAACTCGCCATGGGCACAACCTTCAATGGCAATCTTCATTTTTTCCAAATATAATTTTCAAATTTTATTACACAATTTTTGGTTTTATGGAATTCAATATTTAAAGTGCATAAATTTTTATATTGTTTACTAAAAAATGACAACGTTGTCAAATGTTTTTTTTTTTGATTTTTTATTTTTTTTTTATTTGATTGTTTGTCATTCAATGGACGCCTCTCATATGACGCCACTAAATTTCTCCCAATAAACTTGGAAAACGTATTATGTATTACGTATTTCCAATCTTGATCTAACAAAAATCAGCCGTGCTTTTCAGTAATAAAGTTTGTGTTACGTTAAAAGGCGGTTGACAGAAATACAAATTTTTGCAAGTCAAGACAAAAAGATAATCAATAAATTAATGATTGCATATAAACATTTCTTAGTGGTTGTAATCACCTGACGGACAATCAAAATTTTCTGTTTTTGACGCTACAAGCGATTAAAATTTTGACGGCTAACTGTTTTGTTACGGTTTTACTACTATCGTCCTAATGCCATGGAAGATGTAATATCTCATTTTTTGGGAACTCATTTTAGGTAGCTGTTAAGTCCGTAGCTGTACCTTTTATATGATCATTAAAAGCAAATACTAAATCATTTTTTGTCATTCTTTAAGAAGTTAAAAGTTAAATTATAACTACAAATATAAAATCTTATTTTTAATTTATGTATTTAAAATTTATGTAGAATATTTATATCTAATCCAAGAAGGAACATAAATATGGACGTAAAGCACCTAAGCGTGATGTGCGCATATATAAGAATTTTTCAATTTTCAATTACTCTATTGTCGTCAGTGACTGTACTGTTTTTGTGTTTTCGTATTTAAATGACACAAAATTGACATCAAAATATTCATTCATGCTACACTTCTGCCATCTGCCTATGCCATTCAGTATCACCAATGCAAATACAAGTGTTTTTTTAACCGGATCAAAATGTATCGCTCTGTAATAAATAAATAAAGAATAATTGAAAAACAATATAATTTTATATAATAACTTCAAAATTTTATTTCAAATTTCATTATAATTTCTGTAAAGAAATAGTTAATTTTTGCTTTTGAAGAGTAATCCAATCAAAGATTATATTAACGATGGATCAGATAGGTGAAGCATTAAATGACTTACTTGTAAGTTGAATTGATGTGTTGACAAAAGCCAAATTACATACATATTTTTTAAAATTTACTATTTATATATATATATTTTCAGAAAGTCGAACCTATTGAAGAGTTTTTGGGTGTTATAGTTCATAAGGCCACAGGGGAATCCGAGAAAAGTGAGGTGTTTATAAATAATATAGGTAAATGGGAAAAAACACTGAATCCTATATATCTATATATAGTATGTATGTGTGTATAAACATATGTGCAAAAGTATAAGAAATTTTGTTTAACGTTATAAAATGTTTGAAAGTTATTTTAAAATCATGTTCGTTTATATTTTAGTCAAGGCATTTTCATCTTTAAATCCAGAAACAAAAGAATTAGCGATAATTAAAATTCTACGTGCTGCAACTACCAGTAATTTAAGTCACTTAAGGGTTCTAATGGAAACATTACACAAACTGACAACTTCAAATTTAATATCAGCCAGGTTAAAAATAAAATGCCACAGTTAAATAAGAAAAGATTTTAATTTTTTTAATATTTCAGAATAATGTGTAACAAAATTTTAACATGTGACAAACTAGTTTATGAAAATAAGAGCTTTTGGATTGAATGTTTTACTTTAATTAAAAAGATTATAACAAATGTTGATTACAAAGGTGTTCGGGAGATTATGAAGGTAAAAAGACAATTTTATAACAAACAAATATTTCACTTAACATATAACTTTAAAGGCTTGTAGAGACAAAGCGTTATTATTTCCAGTTAATATTGATGGTAGCATTTTGCCGCAACTATTGATATTAGAGGAGACTATTAGTTTTATATTTGACCGTAATAATTGTCTTTTACCAGCATATTTTGTTGCCAATGAAATCATGAAATCTTCTCAATCGCATTGGGTGAGTATTTAAATCGAAATTTTATAATTAGAATATTTGTAAGAAATTTATTAAATTTGCAGAAAATAAACAAATTAATGATTGATTTTGTGGAAGAATTTCGTGATATTGCCCAAATGGTATCAATCATAGGTCACTCTAATATGTTACCTATTACTGAACATTTTGGCTATGCAGATCATTTAATGAATTCATGGAAATTAGATCATAACACATTAAAATTTACATTTAAAGGAAGTTTACCTTATGATCCAGAGTTATTAGAACCACAATCAGCTTTGTTGAGACATGTTCTAGATCAACCATATTCTAAGGAAATGGTCACAACTATGTTGAATTTTCAAAATAAACAAAAACAATCTTGTAACGCTTTACAAGAACAATTAGTAAATCTAATGATTAAAGCTATGGAAAGGAGTGAAATAGATGAAAAGCTATGCAAAGAAGAAATGATTGCACAAAATGAATGGATTTGGTTACATTTATCGTCGCAATTAATTTACTTTGTCCTTCTGCAAATGGTTAGCTTTATGCAAGTTGTAATATCTTTAAATGATAAGGTACATATATGAATAATTTTATTAACTAAATAAATTTCTGAGCTTCGAATATTTTAAGTTATCAAAATGTGAGCTAAGAAAAGGCAGAGATCAGTTAATGTGGACTTTATTACAATTTATATCAGGAAGCATACAAAAAAATCCAGTAAAACAAGAAATTATGTGAAATTATTTGCTAATTAATTAAACTATGTACTTTTAGATTTCTACATTTTTGCCTATGTTCAAATTATTTGATATTCTATATCCGGAACAAGAGCCTTTAAAATTACCTGATTGCAATAAACCATCTTCAATTAGACAGGTAATATTTAGAAAAAAAAAAATTGAATAAATTTTTATTATTTGACCTTTATTTTAAAGATGGCACCCATTTGCATATGGATCCACTTGATGAAAAAAGCACGTTTGGAAAATATTAATATTTGTCGTTCAGTTCCTATCGCTTTAAGGAATCACCATGAGTAAACAAATTTTCTTTTAATTTATAAAATGAACTAAAAAACAATTTTAAATTTTTGTGCTATTTTAGGTATCTGCAGCATTTAGTTATGTCGAATTTGAATCATACAATTAGCTTAAATACAGATTTTCGTATCATATTATTAGCAAATGCTTATTCAACTAACCAGGAACATTTTACTCGTCCAATGCAAATTTTGGCTGAAATGTTAAATGGGAGTCAGAAAAACCAATCAGTTAATCCGGCTAACATGCAGTTACCAACTCAACCATTCTCAATGGTCATCTTAGACAGTTTAACAGTGCACAGTAAAATGTCGTTGATACACAAGTAAAAATTAAATAAATTTAGATTTTCAAAAAATAATAAACGGAACATAATGCTTATATTTCAGTTTTGTAACAACTTTAATTAAAAATGCCCAAAATAAAACAACAACACCTGCACCGGCTCTAATTGAAACTTATTCTCGCCTTTTAGTTTACACAGAAATTGAATCTCTTGGTATCAAAGGATTTTTAAGTATTATACTGAAAAAAAATATTTTTGACAAAACTAACATCAATCAATTTTAGATCAGCTATTTCCTGCAGTATTCAAGTCACATGCATGGGGAATATTACATACTCTTTTGGAAATGTTTTCATATCGTCTTCATCATATACCAACACATTGTCGGGTTCAACTTTTAAGTAATTTACATAGCGTTACATCTGTACCACAAACAAATAAAATGCAATTAAATTTATGTTTTGAGTCAACGGCTTTACGGTTAATTACTGGACTAGGTTCAGTTGAAGTTCAGCCTCAGTTGTCTCGATATTTCAATGAAAAAACACCGGGATCAGTCGTTTCAAGTGAAAGTGAAGAGCTAAATCGTGTTTTAATATTAACATTAGCGCGTTCAATGCACATTACCGGATCTGGGAATGAGCTTCAAGCCTGGTGTAAAGACTTATTAACTAATATAATGCAAAACACGCCACATTCTTGGGCATCACATTCTTTGTCATGTTTTCCTCCAGCTTTGCAAGAGTTTTTTACCCAAAACAGTATTCCATTAGAAAACAAACAACTATTAAAAAAATCTGTAGATGAAGAATACCGTAGCTGGATATCAATGTCTAATGAAAATGATATTATTGGTAGGAGAATTTTATGCAAAACTGTAATTATTAAATTGACTAATCACTTTTACAAAATTTTACTTTTTCAGCTCACTTTATTAGACCAAATACTACACCTCTGTTTTTATGTCTTCTATTCAAAATGATATGGGAAACTGAAAATATAAGTCCTGTTGCATATAAAATATTAGAAGGAATAAATACTCGTGCGTTTTCAGCTCATCTTCGTAAACTTTGTGATTACTTAGTATATGAAGTTGCAAATTTAAATAGTACCAAGGATTTCATTCACAAATGCGTAGATACAATTAATAATATGATATGGAAATATAATGTGGTAACTATTGACCGTTTGGTTTTATGTTTAGCTCTTCGAACTCAAGAAGGAAACGAAGCCCAAGTTTGTTTCCTAATTATCCAATTACTTTTATTAAAAACTTCTGAATTAAGAAATCGAGTTCAAGAGATAGTAAAAGATAATTCACCAGATCATTGGAAACAGAGTAACTGGCATGAAAAACATTTAGCGTTTCATCAAAAATTTCCAGAAAAATTCGCGTCGGATGAGTCGGCTTCACATCCACCGCTACCAGTTTATTTTGGAAATGTATGTTTAAGATTTTTACCAGCATTGGATATTGTAATACACCGGTTCATCGAGCTGCCGATACAACATGTCAGTCAAATACTAGAGGGTATTCTCGATCATTTAAGTTGTTTATATAAATTTCATGATCGACCAATAACTTATCTATATAGCACCCTACACTTTTATGAACGAATCCTTCGAGATAGACCATCTTTAAAAAGAAAATTAGTAAGTTCCGTAATAGGCGCTTTAAATGATGTGAGACCTCCAAATTGGGCTTTGAGTGAAAAATATCAGCAATATTTGAAAAGTCAAGATATTTTGTGGAATCCAGAGTTACCATATTATTATTATCTGGTAAAAAGACTTGTTGATGCGATAAGTGGTCAAAATTATTTTTATATGACGGATTGGCGTTTCAATGAGTTTTTAAACGCACCATGCCACGCTCTTTATGTGACATGCGTTGAATTATTAAGCTTACCGATTGCACCAACAATTGTTGCAAATAACCTTATAGATGTTATTGTTAAAGGGAGCTCTCTTCTACCACAAACAGAAATATACAGTTTTATAAATGCAACAGGGATTATAATGTCAGCTTTACCAGAAACATATTGGAGCACGATATATGATCGAATACAGGAAATTTTGAATAGCCACAAAATGCTGAATTGGCGTTATAGGTATTCAGCTTTTGAATTATTTAACTTTAAGACTGTTCAAGAATCGATGTTGGAAAATACTTATGCAAGCGTTTTAGCTGTGATTCATTCAATTTTCCATCACATGGGCTGTTTTAAGTTAGCTACAATAACTCAGTACGTTCTATTTTTATTTACATTACCTCAATCATTATTTTATGTAATATTATTTTTTCCTTTAGTTACATCAAAGAAAGATTAAGGCCACTAATTAAAACTGAACATCAATATATTTATTTGTGTCATATAGTCGGACCATTTTTGCAGCGGATTGATTATGAAAAAACAAATTCAGTGGCAGAAATTGCTATTGTTTTATATGAGTTACTAGAAGTAGTCGACAAAAATCATGGGCCAAAACCTTTAGAATATATGGATCCTATTTGTGATTTTCTTTATCATATAAAATACATATATGTTGGTGATATAATTAAAAATGAATCTGAGGCAGTCATTAAACGTCTAAGACCAGCATTGCAAATGCGTCTCAGATTTATTGCCCATATTAACGTTGAAGAAATTGGTTCCGAAAAAAGGTAAACTGATAATGTTTTAAATGCTTTTTAAATTTAACTTTTTCATATAAAATTTTAGTATTGAACCAAATCATCAACAACTTGCGAATATTTTGCAAAATCAAATTATTAATACACAGCACCAACAGCCGCATCAACAATCCCATCCGCAACCTCATCCACAACAACATCCTCAACAACACCCGCAACAGCCTATACAACAACAGCAACAACAACAACAGCAGCAGCAACAACAGCAGCAGCAACAACAGCAGCAACAGCATCAACAGCAGCAGCAGCAACAGCAGCAACAACAACAGGTACAACAAACACAACAGATGCAACATCAACAGCATCAACAGCAACCATCTCCAAATCCTTCACAGATGAATCAACAACAAATGCTGAATGTGCATTTACAGCAGCAACAACAACAGCAACAACAACAAAATATTAGACCTCATCAGTATATTCCCCAACAGCAGCAAGTTCACAATCAACCTCACCTACAGCAAATGTTACAGCAACAACAAGCTTACGTTCAACAACAACAGCAACAGAAACATTTACTGATGCAACAGCAACAACAACAGCATAATATGGGAATGAGACATAATTAGATTTTACTAAGACATATTTTTATCATTTTTTTCTAAAGTAGTTAAATATTTATACTTAAGAGTAGTTGTACGTTAATAATAAAATAATTTTTACTGTGGAATCAAGTTTTTTTAAGTTCAACCTTGGGTAAAATAGTTAATAACAATCAGAAGCAAAGTTGAAATAAGTAAAACCTGAATGGTCAAATTGAAATTTCAACGGGTTAAGTAACTTCATATTGTACTACGCTCATATTTCTAATTAATTATTAATTATTAATTTAGTAAAACATAAATAATTTTCTCTGCTAGTGCTGCTCATATCTTTAAAATTATCTGCGTTTGCGACATAATAATAGTTTATTTTAATAATAACAATATAAGGGTTTTTCAGACGATTTAAGGTTAGTTAATTCGAATTAGATAAGCTACTAATAAATAATATTAAAATTAGACTATTCAATTATAAAATTTTCTTACATCGCTGCAGGAAACTTAATAAAGATTTTCACAAACGCAATACTGCAAAAATAAACGTGATGAATATGCAATATTATATTTTTAACTACTCCATAAAATGAAAACGCTATATGATTTGACTGCGCTACTCATACTAATTTCAGTACATTGCGAAAGGTCAGCCAAGTTTATGAACGAATTAGCGTAGCAATATTTGCTTATGAACATAAATATGTAATAGTATATAATATCTATTAATTTACAAAAATATTTTTTCCATAACATGCAGTACTTTAATTACATTATTGTATTCCAATTTTTTTTTCGACACGGCAATTCTAAAATAATTCTGATTCATTTGAGGTGAAAAAATATTTTTTTTTACTCATAACTTCTAAATGAACTCAAAATTAACAACTCAAAACAAATAAATAAACTCAAAACAAAATATTGAAAATATTTTTTTGTAAAACGAAATGAAGAGTGAAATTAAACCACTCATTTATTTTGACTCAAATCATAATTCCCTTTTGAGTGAATTTCTTTTTTTTCATTCAATATAAAATAAATGAGTTGAAAGAAGTTGAAAATGAAAATTCTTCTGAGTTGAATTTAAAAACCATTTAAAATTTTTTTAGTTCGAGTTGAAAATTTGTTCGAATAACTAGTGTTGTGTTAACACGCATTTTGTAATTTTTTTTTTTTTTAATAATAAAAAAATGTGTTTGTTGTGTTGTGTCTAAAATTAAAGGAAAAATAAAAAAAAATGTACATACATGCATACATAATTAATACACATATAAAATATAATAGAAAAAAAAATAAATTAGAGTGTTAAGAAAATTAATCCTTATTAAAAGAAAAATATTAAACTAATTATAGATTTTAATAAATTAATAAGAAAATGTACAAATAGGTTTCAATTTAATTTTTATTTGCACTTTAAAAGAAATTTTTTCTTTCTTGTTTTTCTTTTTTTATCTACTGCAATTTTCAGTCTACTAGTCTACTCCTTTCAACCTAATTTTTATTTTCTTCATTTTATGTTTTTTCAATTATTTTTATTTTTTTCTTCTTGAAAATATTAGGTGTGTTTGATGATATTTTAATTTTTTTCTCTATAGCATAAAATTATAGGAAGCATGATGATGACAGGAACAAATAACGAAATCTATTAAGAATGACCGGCTATAAATTCTATAAGTACTTAATAATTATAAATTATTGATTTAAAAAATTAATTTTATTTTGGTCTCCTTATATTGAAAAGTATGAAGGGTAGATATGGCAAATAATATACATGCACACAAAAATAATATGCAAACAATTGAAAATATTTCAAAAAATTTACTGCAGTGTTCAAGATGTAGTGCTTCAATAGAGTTGAGTTGATCTATGTTGTATGATTTAAATATGTGCTTACACACTAGATATCTAAGTATAGTTAGATATGTACTTACATGTGTTCGAATATTATGTATAATGTAGTTTTTATTTATTTTGTTTTTAATGTTAAAAGGAAAATTACTATCACAAAACTATCCATATATTTATGTAGTTGAAAATAATAAAAAACAATAAGTTTCTATAAGAAAATACAATATTTAGGATTAACAGCTACAATAGGTAGGATATAAAAAATTTTTAAAGTCCAATATGATTTTACAGAATTCTTATAATGAACCCTTAAAAAAAATCAACAGAAGAAAAAAAATCGATTTTAATTTTTGCCTTTTATTAGTAGGTGCTTTTTAGATTAGAACAATATTAGATTTAGTTTAAAAAACACCATCATTATATCTACATACTGTTAGTTTGTTTTTTAAATTTCTTGAAAAAATTGTTCTTAAGCGAGTTCATAATATCTTGAGTGCTTGTTTATATTACTTGTAATAGATGTACTATATACATATAAATAGATAGATAAGTAGCTATATTATGATATACATATGTACATACATTTACGTATCAGCTTAAATTTGCAATTATTGTATTCATGTCGATATAAGGTGTGTCACTACAAGTTGTAATTATGTTTAAAAATTTCCTACATAGGTTCCTAACATATGTATAGTAAAAATAAAAATAGACTCTGATATCGAATTGCAGCATAAAAGTGCAATAGTTTTCCGTTTCATATAAGAATAATTTGAAATTTCAATTATAAAATTTTATATTACCGCATAAGTACTAAACTGGTTTTAATTTTACACCGAAATTTTGACTAAAAAAGAGAAAATAAAATTTAAAGCTATAACTATTAACACTATACCACATTAGTTTCAAAATAAGAATATTAAATATTAAAATAAGAATGATAAACTTCAAAATGACAAGAATAAACTTCAATATTTTAGAATAATCGAATAAAATTCAATATGCGATTTTTTATTTAAACCGGCGCAAGGATTATTTCTTTAATTTTTATTTTAGCTATGCTAAAATATTGAAAATTGCTGTTCTGACACTGCAGCTTCTTACTATTCCCTTTTTGAAGTTTATTATTTCATTTTGAGGCTCACTGTTCTCATTTTAAAATTAAAATGGCATTGACTCGTTATATTTACGAATATATTTTGTTAAAATTACTAAATAAATTTTTTTTATAAGATTCTAACATTTTTTACCAATTTTACAATATTGTTTACGTTTAATTTCTTCTTATTTATTATGTAATGTAAACAATTGCTTTTACAGAATTTCTAGAATTATTTTGTGCTAAAAAAAGGAATGCATGGTTGCTAAAATAATTGAAAAATTAAATTTAAATTGAATTCATATTGCATACTAATATTAAAATCATTTTTGTAAGTACAAATGAAATTTTTATTTACAATTGAAATGTAAAACACAATTTAAATTAAACAATAATAACTCAAACTAAAATAGTATGAAATTATATGAAAAGCAATATATTATTTATCTACATACCCATGTACTTACTCTTAACTTAAGGAGTAAAATTTTTCAATTCTCTAAATTTAATTCAAATAGGAATTTTTTTGTGAAAGTACAAAAATATTTTAATTAAATATTTTTATTTTTTATTTAAGTAAATAACATTGAACTTATAAGAGTATAAGCATTTATGTAGTATAAGTAAAAATATTATTTCCATATTTAGTAATTAATATTGTCCATATTTCATCATTTATCTTTACAATAATTAAAAATTATAATAACTACCTATTAGCTTTATTATTATTATGTTAAAAGGTGTAATCGACAATGTCAAATGACCGGTCGACAACAATTGCATTTGGCGATCATCAATACTGGTAATCAACAATTTATGTTAAAAAATTTTTTTACATATGTACATTATATCAAATTTCGTACATGCATATTGGCATGCAACCGGTTGACAATTACTGCTTTAGCAGTAAATAATTTTCGATAATTTCAATTTGAAATTTTTAATAAAATAATATTAATAGCTATATCCTCTTCAGAATTTTCCATTTTGTACAAAAAACAAAATTAGCAGTTAAAATTTTTTTATTACAAAAATACCACAAAAATTTTACATTTGGTATATTGACAAATAAATTTTACATTAAATTTGGTATATTGAAATTTTGCTTTGTTTGTAATATCGCTACAAATGTAAAAATCTGCTGTCGACAACATTAAAAGTTGCAATACCTTTGTTTTACTGTAATATCGATTATAAGATGCAAAAGAATTCAATCTCCATTTCATATTATCGATTACACCTTAAATAACGTATAAAAAATAAAAATATATTTTTTTTTTTAATTTTTATTTACACTGAAGGTAAAACCAAAAATATTTTAATATTTACTAATAAAGTATTATAAATATTTAACTATGGGATTATTACCATAAAGCCACATTATTAACAACATAAGTATATAATCTAGTAAATTTACGATATTAATAAATATTTTTTAAATTACAATTCACAATAATAATATTTTAGTCAGCCGGTTTTTAAACTATGACCGTAACAAATACGTTGAAATACCTAATAAAATTTTTACTATACTTTATTCACTTACACATAAATATTTATATATATACATAAATAATCTACCGCATTTTATGCACATTATAAATTTATAAATATAATATGTACATATACATAATAGCTATACATAATATTTTATATATAAGTATAGTTATTACAATATTATTGTAGTAATAAAGTAAAGAAAACATAAATAAATAATAAAAATAATAAAATAATTTGTTATAAATATATACATATGTTTATGTATATATTTATGTTTTAATAAATATATATATATATATATATATATATATATATATATATACATATAGTACATATGCATATAAAGAAGTAAAAGATTTCAGTTGATGAGGAAGTTTATCAACCTTTTATGTTTTTTTCAATTTTTCTTTTTTGTCTTTTATTAATTCGTTTCTTTCTTTTTTTTTTAAAATAGCACGAAAAGGAATCATTAAAAAAAGTTTTTTATTTTGTTTAAAATGTACTCATTCGTATAGGTACATAATTTTATGTATAAGTACAATAATTACATATTTATATACCAAGTAAAATTTATTATAATAGAAAAACATTGAGTACTAATTTAAATGTTATTTTGAGCCAATTGATGCACCATATTGTATGTAATGTTTCTAATAAATACATACATACATATGTAAACATTTATAA